TAAACAAATGCGCACTGCAATGATGATATTCGCAATAACCTTTGATCTTTGTTTTTATCCGCGAGCGTTATTCTTTTATTATACTAGTTATTTCTGTAATCCTTTCACTTGCTAACGTGACTTACCAATTTCCTTCATAAATAATCGGCTCAAAAAATTCTGCAAATTATTGTATTATCGATTCTCATGCAACGTAAATAACATACGCTAGGCGTATTTCTTATTGCAAAACGTGCTTACCACACTTGCCGAAACTGCTGGTCTTTTCGAGTAGCTCTCGTCGCTGCCATTTATTGCTAAACAAAATGCCTCCTTTTTCAGTCTACTTGCGGCTGAGGAAAGACCTGAATAAAATTTTCTTTATTTTCTGTTCAGTACTATTGAGCGGTATTAACTGTAGTTTAAAATTGATGACTTTTATTTTCAGAAAATTGCCATCTAGTTGAATACGGGGTGGTTCATGTGTTTTGGCTGAATTATTCGCCTATTATTATGATCCCAGTTTTACCTATTTCAATGGCTATTTTAGACTTCTTGTTTGTCCGATGATAATCTGGAGTTTCTTTTGATTTGCACAAGAATACGAAAAACGATGTTCGGGTTCTTCCCCGTTTCCCCGTCCACACCTTTTCCCCTCTTTCTCCCTGTGCAATCGCATTTACCCTTTCTATCGAGAAAATGCAAATTGAAACTTTGCTTTCATGAAAATGAAAAATTGTCATACCTATCTGTAATCTGATTTTACGGTGAAAAGTACGGCATACCTAAGGCCTTTGATTGAAAGTACAATTTTTTCTCAAAATTTTGCTTTCCTTTACAGTCATTCTCACACATGCGATATGATTGCTCAAGGCAGTATCTCCTTTTTAAGGGTCTTACTTACTTTATTTCAAAAAAATGCGTTCCGCAAACAAAATAAGTACATGTTCTGACTTAAGATTTTTACAGGCTTCAAAGGGGGTATTATAATGGACTGGTCTCCCAAACAAGAGTTTGATTTGTAAAATTTGATGGAGTACTACGTATTAAGGTCCGATTCAATTTAAATGAGTTCAAGATTTCTACGCGCCGATCACAAGGCTCCGTCTTTCTGGCCCTTGAGTCCAAGTAGGACTTCTAAGAAGGGACAATTATGTACATTTCTCTTTTTAATTCCTCCGCCACCTTTTGCTTGGTCCACCTGCGATTTAAGCGCTTTTTAAGCAGCTTCAGTCTTTACTTGCTCAAAATGAAAATGTAACGTGAAGAAAAGCTTGCTTTGGTAGCTTTAAAAATGAGAAGGCATTTTGTATGTTAAGCAAAAAGCATGGAAACGACGCTTGTCAGCTTCAGTAATCAAATTCTTTCTGCTTAACATCTGGTCCAAATAACATATTTTTCTCATTTCGGATTTTTTTCCGAGAACTGAATTATTTTAATTAGCATGTGATATTATAGCGACTGCGAAATGGCCCCATATTCGGTTCTCATCACAGGGGCGAATCGTGGGATAGGTCTCGGTCTTGTTAAGCAGTTTCTCAAGAATAAAGAGATTCAACACGTCATTGCCACTGCTCGTGAGCCTAGTAGTGCCAAGGTGAGTGTAATACATACTTAATATGGTATGAAATACAATTGTAATATGTAGATATAGCTCTAGTTGCTTCTGTGGAAAATATTACAAATTGCACAATTTATCGTAAATATACATGACTGAGCAAAAGAAAGCATTCCGCAAAAAACCTCAGCACATTCTACATATTCTGTTGCACTAAACCAAAGCATATTGAAATTAAATTGTATGCTATGGTGCAGGAGCTACAGAACCAGCCTAGCTCTGGATATGGAGTCTGACGCAG